TAGAACACCTTTTGGTGGTTCAATTCCCAGATTAACGAAACGTTCTGGCTGAAAAAGAAAAAACTGATAAGCTTTAATGATGGGTTTTAATGCAATTACAAGCAGCGCTACTGTGTAGATCGCTGGCTCGATTTCGCCAACGAGAAAAACAGTCCCTCTATGTTTTCATGAGCCTTACGTGCAGCACTAAAGCGCTGCAACAGGCAGCAAAAACGTATATTGCGACGATCCTGTCTGTGTGTGTATGTGTGTGTGTTCGTTTGTCGGGGTATTTCTACTCGCTAACCAGCAAGCTTTGATGCTGAATTTTCGCCAATGTGTTGCCTGGCCAAGTGCGACCTCAGGAACATGATGTCAACTGTCATATACGTCTATGTCTCACGTATGGACACGTGAAAATTTTGGCAGGGAAAAATGGAAGCTCGGAAACGAGAAAAGCGGAAGCTGAAAACTTAGGGGAGTGTTCCCTACTCAAGTAAGATCAAAAGAATTCAAATTCAACTTCTTGGGACCGCCCGGGACTCACGTAATGAAATGTGAGGATTTTGGCGGAGAAATTGTTGACTCGGGAACAAGAAAAGGTGGAGGACTGAAAGAATGTTCCCTACTCATGTGCGACAAGAAGATTTTAAATCCGGCACTTTAGAAGCGCTCGGGAGCCACGTATGGACAAGTGAAAGTTTTGGCAGGAAAACTGGAAACTCGGGAACGAAAGAAGCTGGGAAGTTAAAACTTCCAGGGGATGTTCATTATCGAAATACGACCGAAAGATTTCAAATTTGGCTCCTTAGAACCGCTAGTGCCTCATGCACGGGCGTGGGGAAGTTTTGGCAGGAAACTGCTAACTCGGGAACGAGAAAAGCTAAAAGGCTGAAATTTTAAGTGAATGTTCCCTATTCATGTGCGACTGAAAGATTTCAAATTCAGCTCTTCTAGTGGGTCCTTTTTCGCGCATTAGCAACGTCCCGTTTGTCGGTTACTGAAGCCGACATCTACAACTGACATGCCACGCAGCTGCAAAGTTAACTTCCTGAACGTCAAGGGGACAATATATCACAAATTCTAGCTATTTTGTTTCCTTGCAATCTTGCCACAGCACGAAATAGCACAGAAACGCATGATCAAACCGGCCCGCCTGGTGCATTCCAGCCTGCGTGTTTATTTCGATTAAAAACTAAAGCTGGTGCATACCGAAGGGACGAAATTAAAGTCAACTTGCTTTTAAGCAAAATTCTATAAAAAAAGGTGCCATCAAAAACCTTGCTATCGGATTACATTGCTACTAGAGCTACTGCCGGACGTCTTCGCCTTCCAGAAAAGGAGAGAAAGAGAGATGCCAACAAGAAGAGGAAGTGAATTTAAAGGAATTTCAACTTCCGTCATTCGAAAAAAGTACTTTTTTTATATATTTTGCTAATTTCTGATAGCCAAGTAATTGCTCTTGCTACATCGCATGTATGCATTTGCTATTGTGGCAGCTTTGGCAACTCTGATACGATTTAAATATTGACACAACTCCCCCCGATGGACATTATCGAGACTTTTTGCCATGGTCATTAGCAGTAGCTAGGAGAACGTAAGAGCGATACAATAAATGTGATAGCCAGCATTTCCTTTCAAACAAAAGAAGCATTACGAAAGAGGCAAGAACCTTCACAGCATGGTAAATTCGATCCTAACAACCATGTATGGTACCAACGAGGCTGAAAATGTCGCGAAAAACCCGAGAAAAGCCAACAAAGAAAAAAACGCCATGAAAAAAGATACACGCTGCAGCCACGAAAAGAAAAGTGGAAAAGAAAGGCGAATTCTGCCTTATAGAGCAGATATGCACCGATTTACTATCACGCTGATTCCTAAGCACAAGATCGGTGGTGCAATGAGTAGTACGTCGCATCCAGATGTGAAGGGGAATGGTTCGATTCCGTCCTGGTCCGCAACCATTTTTGAAAAGGGTCTCTGTTCGAGAGAGATGGAGCAAAAAGCGCTACGACAAAATGACAAATGAATGAAACCAAATCTGACCCAGTGCATTAAATATTCAATGAAAAATTTAGTAACAGTCCTATCCAATTGCTAAGTAGAAAACTCACATGCAGCAGCGGTGTTTCCACCACTTCCCTCAATTTTTCGATTTGTTCCTTGCATCCGCCAACATCAGCATACGTAACATCCGGTTTTTCTTCCACCTAAGATAGCATTTAATCAAACTTAATTCATGCAAAATTCTAGTTTTTGGGGAGAACCTATGCCCTACAACAAAAACCTGCACTTCCCTTAATCAGTCTCACTAACACACGTAAATGCTACTACCTTTTAGGATTAGCACAGCCCTCTTTCCACCCTTTGCAATCGCGAATATCCGTAAAACCGAATTCTTTACCTGCATCATTGTGACTGATGGGTCAATCTTTGCCGGCAGTGGTAAGTGAATCTGATATTTGTTTCGGTCCACACCAACGCGCATGCCCTCTTCAATATCGGTTGGCGCAACCGTGTCCGCAAGATCCACTACAAATTTCGCAAACTGCTTTACATTGATCAGATATCTCGGCTCGTGACCCTCGGATGTTATAATTTTTGTGCATCTTGCAACCTGCAAAAACCAACACTTTTTTCTTTTAACGCAGAAACTAAAGAACTGCGTGAAAATATATCGCTGGAATGCAAATCTTTCCTGTATCGCTGATCCGAGGAACTTAATACTAACTTCTACTGTATCTGGGTGATGTGCCGAATTATTGGTCACACTTATATTACTAGTAGAAAAGCATACTAGCCTTACAGTCGCTAAAGAATACATAATACATCTATCGACGAAGAAAACATGGAAAAAAAAAGAATCAGGATGTATCGGCAAGGCAGTGAAATTACCAAAACAGGCATCTTCGATAAAAAAGTAACCGTAGGACTGCTACCAGCTGCACCAAAGCAGGAAGATGGGGTACAACAAAGCAACTACCTCAAGATGCCCCAAAGAAAACAAAACAGGGTAAGCGTACCTGCAATGGTTGCTCACTTTGCATTGCTTGTTTATCAGCAGCTATATCCCACAGTGCCGGTGGTGCTAGCCCAGTGTCGCTTTCCTTCACGCCAGATAACTCATTCACCTGAAATGATGGAAAAACGTTTAGAAATTCTGATGGCTGTGGCAGTCTTTGCGATGCTGATCGTATAAAAAAAATCTCAGAATTAAAAAAAATTCGTCGTCAAGTCCAGAAACAGGGAAACCCTGCTAAAAAGTAAGTTCAAAACTATTAAAGCAATGCCAATTTTGTAAACGAATTTTCGTATGCGCTTGAATTACGACACAATGAAGGTTCTTTTGTGGCCTGAATCCACTGAACCATAACCAATAACTTCAAAAAAAAAAAGGACTTTTCAGAATTACTGATCTAGCAAGGGAAAAAATCAAAACTCTGCGACTTCCTAGAGGCGCAAAATCAGTCCATTTCAACCCGAAAAGTCACAATTTCGTTTTTTTTTTTTTTTTAAACTACAAGATGGCTAAGTTAAAGTCACCACTTATGAGTGGTGAACGTACCTGGAACTGGTCCGAATATAAATACAGGTCCACAGCAGTTATTCGCTGATATGGCTATCGATGGTTCTCTCTTTCAAAGGCCATTTAGCAAGCTGATGATGCTTGTGGGGCAAATTTACCACCGATACAAATGAACGAATCGCAAAAGAACTGGTTGCTCAAACTGTGGAATGGATGGGAAGACATCGAAATCAAGAAGTGAAATAGATAGTGCAGAGCATATGTTTTAAAAAAAAAAAAGTTCAGGAGATGTAATGAGGACCTGGAGTAAGGCTAAACGTAAACTTGGCTGTCTGTATTTCATCCGTAAGCTGCAAACACAGACAGTATTTGGTGTGGATTGGGGTGGGAATACAGAAACCGACCCCCAAAAAAAGTTAATATTCGAGCTCAAACTTGTGGGACAATTCATTTCTACGCCCTTCCAAAGATTCTCCAGGAGGTTTCAGGAATGAAGAAAGTAGTTTAAAACTTGAGACTAACTTTTTTCACACATTCTTCGATATCGAGTTCAAGCTGTTTTAATTGTTCCGCATAAGCTCCTTGTCCGTAGCGTTTCAGAACAGCAATATCATTCTCATCCAACGCTAAAAACAATAGCAGTGAACAAAAAATTAAGTTTCGCAAAATACTTTAGGCAATAATTACTGTTTTTTAGACCCTTCCCCCGTCCCTCCTCCCCTCCCTCCCTCCCTCCCCCCACAAAACACCACGGGGATAGCGTGAGCTAATTCTGTGCAACTGTGTTGCAACCGCACATCCAATTCCGTTGCACTAAGCTTTTTTTTAAACTCTAATCTTTGCTACATTGCTATGAAGGT